AGTTTTTCCTTTGCTGATAAATAAGAATATAATATGTACCTACTCCATCTTGACATGAGTAAAACAAGTAAATCTCGCGACAACTTTTTATATCAAATGAAGCGTACAATTTTTATTAAGTTGATGGATTTGATTTGATTCAGAGTTTATTTTCTTCCTTTCGGGGCTGGTATATGAAAGTTTGCAGTATTTTTTCAACTACTAATTTATTCATTATGAATAGGAACATATTTCAGGAGAAGTTTCAATTTAATTACATAATTCATCTAATAGGAGTGGAGATAAATCCCTATGAATGTAAAATTAGTAAAAAAAATATGTTAAAACGGTTTTAATGAAAAAAAAAAAGAGAATGATGTAGATAATGTACTAAAAATTAAAAAATAATTCGGAAAGTCCTAGATAGCAGTCATCGCACCACACTCCTCAGGAATCTACGGTATTGATCAAATAAAAAAAAAATAGAATCGTTGGGCTTAGCGTAATCTGAGTAAATATTCAAATACTATTATTATTATTTTTTCATCTGATCATCACCGTAGATTTCTGAGGAGAGTGGTGTGATGACTGCTACCTAGAACCTTCCGAATTATTTTTTAGTTTTTAGTACAGTATCCAAATCATCTTTTTTTAATAAAACCATTCAACATACTTATTTTACTCATCTTATTTGGAAGTTTTTAGTTTAAAACTTTGTTACTCAATTCTTCTCATTCTGTTCATTTAGTGCCTCATATCACAAGGTAATATGTAATCCGCCATTTTGTAGCTGCGGCCATCTTGGATTTACAATGATGCAGAATTTATTAAATTGTATTGTCATCAAAGCTATATGTGTGCATCAAATATCAGATCAATCTGTCAACAGGAAGAGGGGCAAACTTCAATTAATAAATTTGATACAAACAGATAAATAAATAAACAAACAAACAAACAAGCAAACAAATGTGGCAAGATGGACGAAGCCGTTCAATTAAAAAAACTCCAGTGGTAACTCACTGAAAATTCAGTTCATTTGACATTTCGAATACAGATATTGTATTTGGGTATCTGAAATATTTAAAACCTTACTGAGAGATCTTACAGAAAATTCAATAGGTATAGCATTCTCAAGACCTTCCTCAACAACCTGATTATTATCAATAAACAGATAAAACCAAGAATGATGATCGGGCATATTATGCCTGCAGACTCTGCAGTTTCACAGGGGACCCTTTTTTCAGGACAGATACACGAGAGTCTCCCGACATGCAACTCATGAATCACTCATTTAGAAAATGCTAATAAAAATCGTGTATCCCGTTGGGACTGTTCATAATAATCATTATGAAATAATAATACTAATAAATAATATATCCATCGACATAACGCGGTCCTAAGAGTGCTATATTGCCATCTACGGCACTCTTACGGTATTGACNTGGATTATGGAATTCATGAAAGTTTCAGTATATCTTCATAATTTGTATTAATATTCCAACAAATATAACGCAATTTATTAGAGAGTACTTATTTAATATTGGATATTTGATCTCTTGTATTTGCCGAACATCTCTGTGAACGAGGTAGAATAGAAAAAAAATACATTTGTATATCAATTGCCAAAATAAATTTCAAATTGTTTACTTCTAAGTATATAGTCTGTTTTGACACTGACAGTAAAAAAACCCTAATTATATTGTAAACAGTTACAAGATAAAATATTTTGATAACTTGCTATTGTCTTCTAACTGTTTTACATAGATAATTATAGCTTATAATATAATAACACATATAGCCTGTCAATATCAAAGGCCATTGGCAGTCAAGCTAAACGAAAAAGTTATTAGGAATTGCGTCAATATTTGACTGGTCGGTTTTGTATTACAGGGGGACACTCTTTTCTGATATTTGTGACTCTGCCACTTACACCCCAAAGTGTAATGAAGAATCAGTCTAAAAAAAATTAACGATTGCTATTGCTAACAATTGCTAAAAAAAATTAACGATATCGAAATTCGCTCAAGAAAAACTTCGAAAAAACAAACTAATCCAACTATTTCGGTCCTGGTATTTTTCGCATTTCAACTCATGTTATGATCACCACGACAATTTTCAAAAGTAGAAGCACGTGCGAGCTAAGAACTAACGAGGTCTTACCTTTAAACGTGTGATTCCTAAAACGGGTTGGACGATCGCAAATGGAAATCGATCGTCCGGCCTGCGGCTTGAACCACAGATTCACACAGCGGTCGATTGAGGGAATGGGGCAAAGCACCCACATCAATACGACCTGCTATTGTCCTGCCATCACTTCAAGAATTACGATATTCTTTTTTTTAGGAACACTTTTAATTTACTCCTTTAAGAGGAGGATAAAAATTGATTGTATCAAACATAAAATTTTATAGGCCTATAAAAATGCTTCACTGATTAACATTTCAAAATATAATTATAAAATCCAACATAAAATACTTATGCCCCTACCATTGTTCACATGCACACCATTCTTTTACAACCTGACAAAATGGTTTAGACTTTCGCGGCTGAGTTTTTCAGTGTCATTATTTTTCGAGTTTGAAAGCCGTGGATTTTTGGAATTTCTTCATGACGTTTCGCTGGCGCGAGTGGCTAGCTTCTTCAGAGGTTTAACCATCATGGCTTGCTGTCCGATAACTTGACTTTTAGGCTTCGTAAAGCGTATTTATGCCTTGTCAGGTAATCAGTTGTACTCGTCCCTGCACTTGTACCTGTACTTGAACCTGGAGCATTAACAATCTTGCTGCCTGTTGTCATTCTGATCGTTATTCTCGAATTCCTTAAAATGGGGTTCCATATTCGGTTGAGGTTCACCGCTTCTTCTTTTCTGTTGAAATTCTCTGTGTGTTTGTGGATCTCTATTACCCCCCGTACAGTTTGCTATGGTATCTCTGGTTGGGGACAACGAGTTCCGTGTTTTCAAACAAAATCTTGTGGTTTCCTTCACTGAGTGCGTGTTCTGCTACAGCTGACTTGTCTGTTTGTCTTATTCTGCAGTATTTTTCATGATCCTTCAGTCTTGTTCCCATGGATCGTTTGGTGGTTCCGATATATATCTTCCCACAAGTGCACGGTATGCGATAGACCCCTGCCGCTGATAATGGGTCTCTTTTGTCTTAAGCCGACCTGAGGCTTTGTTGTATCTTCCTCGTGAGTTTGAAGACTGTTTCGATGTCGTGTTTATCCAATATTTTTCCAATTCTGTCCGTGTCTGGGATAAACGATAGATATGCGTTTTTGAAAAAGCGAAAAAGGATCACGGAAAGAATTGGAAAACTATTGGGCAAACACGACATCGAAACAGTCTTCAAACCCACGAGGAAGATACAACAAAGCCTAAGGTCGGCTAAAGACAAAAGAGGCCCATTATCAGCAGCAGGGGTCTATCGCATACCGTGCACTTGTGGAAAGGTATATATCGGAACCACCAAACGATTCATGGGAACAAGACTGAAAGAGCATAAGAGGAACTGCAGACTAGGCCAAACGGACAAGTCAGCTGTGGCAGAACACGCACTTATTGAAGGAGACCACATAATTTTGTTTGAAAACACAGAACTAATTGCCCCCAACCATAGCCGACTGGTACGGGAGGCAATAGAGATCTACAAACACACGGAGAATTCCAACAGAAAAGAAGAAGCGGTGAACCTCAATCGAATATGGAACCCCATTTCAAGGAATTCGAGAATAACGAACAGAATGACAACAGGCAGCAGGATTGTTAATGTTCCAGGTTCGAAAGCAGGTACGAGTACAGGTACAAGTGCAGGGAGAAGTACACGTACAAATACAACTGATTACATGACAAGGCATAAATACGCTTTACGAAGCCTAAAAGTCAAGTTATCGGACAGCAAGCCATGATGGTTAAACCTCTGAAGAAGCCACCCACTCGCCCCAGCGAAACGTCAGGAAGAAATTCCAAAAACCCACTCAAACTCGAAAAATAATGACACTTTAACAACCTGTCATTCGTACCCCATTTATTTTTTGAACGGGTCAACTCAAAAAATTGAAATTTGGGATAATGAAATTAATGCATGAATATTTTATTTTGAAGTGAAATTGACAGATGAAACTTTCAAGATGGCGACTGGGCGCCATCTGGAAAAAAATTAAATGGAAACGGGGGTCTTGTGACACATCTTTTTGAAGCTCCTGACAGGTACACCTGGATGGTTTACCTGTATGGGATACCTATATAGCATAAATAGGGTTAGCTCGCATTAGTTTCTAGTTTTAATCTTCCTCTTTGAAGACGATCACTTGGTGATCGAAACACGTGTCGAGGTGTTGAAAATAACGATTTGGTGTTGGGAAAAAACTCCAATAATATTCATTACTACACCAAAGGTTCCAAACAGTGCATCATAATTTCTAGAAATATTCCCTTTTATCTGTCATATGGCAATTCCAACAACCCGATAAGGTTTGTTAAGTTATTTTCTGTTTGCCGTTATTGAAGTGACACCAATAAGTTCCTGAAGACAAACACATTAATATCGTAATTTCCAACACCAAATCGTTATTTTCAACACCTCGACACGTGTTTCGATCACCAAGTGATCATCTTCAAAGAGGAAGATTAAAACTAGAAACTAATGCAAAGTACAGATGTAGTTTTGAGTAGGAATGAATAGCTACCCAGATTTTTTTCAAGAAATGTAATTTCAACAGTCATTGTTTGGGATTTATTAAAAAAATATATATTTTTTCGAATGCTAGATCGCGTTTAATACAGACAAATTAATTAATATGTTGTCTAGATTACGCCAATGAGAAATTCAATATTCTTGACCCATCGCATTATAAACGAGCGCTCATATTTTAAAAGTGTAACGTTAAATTGTTTCATCAGTATCTTATGACTCACGTTGACATGTTTTATGGAAACAATAAAAAAAAATGCGCCCGATATACGAGTAAAATGCTCGGTTCGATTTTGTACTAACTACACTAAAATACTAATAGAGACTTACCGCCGCATCGGGAGCGTGTGCATTGGGGGTGGTGGGTGGCGCCGGCCGAGAAGGAAACCCCTGGTGGGGCTGGTGTTGCGGGCTGGGCGGCATTCCAGGGCCGGGCCCAGGCGAATGGCTTGGAGGTTGCGACGGTTGGGGCGACGGCTGGCTAACGGGCGCCGACGAACTCGCCTGGCCAGGACTACCGGGCCCATGAGATCCCGGACCCGGGGGACCACTGGGCCAACTCGATCGACTCTCGCCGAAGCCGGGACTGGGTGCGGAGCCGCCTCCGTACGCTGGAGAGAGCTGAAAAAAAGACAAATCTATTGCATTCATGAAGACTAAATTAAATTGTTTTCTGAACTCAACAGGAACAAGACCCCCACCTAATATGAAAGGATAGCCGAACACTGACAACTTTTTAAGAAGTGCAAAAGTTGACCTCCGCAAACGCGGAGGTTAACGGAGGCGTAGACGGATACATTAAAAAAAAGACTCATTATTAACCACTTATTAAATGAAAAATACCTGCTGGTAATCTAAATTAATAAGAGGCAAATTATGTTGTTTCTAAATCTAAAAAAAATGAAAAAATATAAAATCTAGATAATAGGTAAGAAAGTTTATTTCGAAAATTGCAACTGTTGAGCTTGTAGGCTGTATTCAAGAATTGAACGCTTCGTCTAAAGTTATCTAAAAGTGTGTTGATGCCAACTTGAAGACGAGTGGTTTCATCCGAAACTTCGAAATACACCTGAGGATTGATTGATTTCCGTGCAAGTAAAAATCTATATCAATACTTTGACATACATTATTGTGTAACGTTGCTGTGAATGATATCTATTTCAATTTCATTACGAATGTTTCAACTCGTATATGTACATATAATGAGAAAAAATCATTTCTATGTAATCAATGTGCGTATGTTTGAAAGTAGTTGGTTCGAACTTTTTCTCATAATAAAGGAACGTTACACAAAGTAATATGAAAGAGTATTGATATAAAATTTTACCTGCACGGAAATAAATCTCAAGGCGTATTTAGAAGTTTCGGATGAAAACAGCACTTGTTTTCAACTTGGTATCAGCACTTATTCGAGCAACTCTTAAAGATGAAGCCTTCAATTCTTGCATAAAATCAAGATTTCATTTCACCGGAAGAGGCACAGCTCTTGTAAATGTTATGAATAGGGTTTTTATTCAAACTTTTATCCGAAAAGAAAACGGCATGAGCACCATATGTTTGTGAAGGGTTTTTATTGAAGTTATATAATTATTGTTTTTTTCTTCATAAGTTTCCCACTTTTTTGTATAATGATGGAGTAGTAGAAAGCCAAAAAGCGTGTTTCCAAATCAATTCCAGATATTGAAACCAGAGTACAAAGCCTCGTAAGTATTAACGGCATATGTAGACCAGGGAAATATTTATTTTGGTACCTATTTGGGTTTATGCGTATTTCATCAAATCATCCTCAATCTCATCAGTTACTGGGAAAAGAGTATCTCTACTAATTTGTTTATGAGTTATCTTGTTTGTCCTAAAATATACAAATTTCCGTTGTGAACAAAAAATCTAAAATTATATGCACAAATTGCCGAATACGCACCTGCATTTCATTTGCAAATGGTCTGACAATAATTCAAGATTAGGATTAAAAATATTAAAATATGAGCATTTTTGAACAGTTTTTCGCTCTAGTACTTGGATTCCTAACCATACATAACAAAATCCTCCTGTTGAGAGAAATATGCTGCTAATTAAGCTGGTAGTTTACAAAATAATGATTGCCGATCGCAGTTGTTTGACAATGCGTTATACAATTATGTTTATCTCGTAGAACGTATTATTTGCGGAAACTCTTCATCACTCATCGAAGGTCGATAGGAAAATATCTTCAAAGAAAATTTGGCAAATAAAAAAGTCCTAACATTTCACATTCCAATAATTCATCATATATACAAAGCAAAGCTACCTCAATTATGTGTTAGTTGCAAAACTGAATGAAGAGACAGTCATCAGCCAACTTGGTTACGTAAACGCTATTATAGAGTTGTTTTATTTATTTTACATACCTATGTTCTTTAAGCGGATTTAATCTATACTCTCCCAATTAGTCAATCATTCAGCCTTCAACAATCAGCCACTCAATGAAAATTCCCAAACAGGCTATTTGGACGTTCAGTCCCAGGTAGTGGGTTTCAGGTAGAAAGATGGCCATATACTTTCTCAATACCTACCTTCATTTTCGTAAATAGTTACATGATCACCCAACTGGAGGAAGGTAGAAACCTTCATTCCATGAATGATTTGATGATTTCAGCAAATTACCACATGGTAAATGCATCTAATACCACATTTACATGACTTCAAATAAAATATCAAAAATTTACCAATCAATAATTTTCGAAGGTTAACTTCAAGCAAAAAATTTTTTTTTCCTATTTATCAAGTCAATCCCCAAGTTTCACGTTAAAACAAGTAAAAGCAGTGCAGGTTTTCCGACAAGAATAAACCAATCCAAGCCAAATCATTTTAAAATTGGATTTGTCAGGAGAACATAATAAATATTATTTTAAATAATTCAAATAATTACATTTTTCAACTACCTATTTTATATTTCCGGATCAGACTTCAGAATCAATAAATTGAAGTTAATTTCTGTTGCGAAACATGAATTATTAAAAATAAACATTCAATCATTTGTGTTGTTAACTCACATGAAATTTCATTCAATCACTTTCTGCGAGTTGAAACATTATTTTCCGATGAAAATGCACTATGAATTTGTCACTTGATCGATATTTTACCACAACAAGCAAAATAATTCCTGATCGTATGAGTAAAGTGACGAGTCATCGATGTTTTGTATTTGCATTTCTCGACATATTAGTCGCTTGACTGGTATTACGTCAAATATTTCAGAAATGTGTGCAAATCCATCGGCAAATCATAATTTCCAAAAATTTTACCAGGCACATGAATAATAATTCGATTTAAGCTTAAATAATTATATGCGAAAGCAAAATTTTCTAAATTATTGGATCGTACGCATATTGATTAGTTGAGCTTGGTGTAAGGGTGTATGTTGAGATTATCTCACAAAAGGAGACTATAACAGACAGATAACATATACTCAAAAAACTTAGTTCTGAAATCAAAATTTTAGGATCTACGTGACACTGCAGTTTTGAACTTCGACTTTTGGTTTTTATATCCTATTTCACCCAATGAAGACCATTATTATTATTATATAAGAATCGACTTACGTTCATTTTAATCGATTAACAGGTCTAGTGTATTTAATGGCTACAAAACTCTAAAATCTGCCTACTCTTCTACTGTATCATCGTTATTATGCATTGAGATACATAATCAGGACAACATAATCAGGAAATTCTGGAATTTTTCCAGAGTAACCACTTCGTTTTTATCGATTCATATTGTTTTAGAGGAAAATAAAATACTCGTGTAAGCTATATTTCATTCAACGTCGAATTCTAACGGTTTTCCTTCATTGAAAAAACAAAAATTGCGAAACATATTATCGAGTATATTGAAGTAGGACAGTCAGTGTTTCTCTATTAATCACGGTATATTAATTTACCGATGTATAATAACGGAGTAAATGAATTATGAACAAGATGAACACATAAATTGTATGACAACACCAAATTCATGAATAACTATCATTATAAATACATTTTTGAATAGAGCCCGTCTTCAACGTAATTAATTTTTTTGGGAATGTTCCTCAATTTGGGTTATTACAGCAAATGCAAGTTTGAACAAAATAAAGTTGCGTTCAATTCATGAGTTTTTCAAATTCACTTCGAAAAGTATTCAAATTGATGTTTCAAATGTTGGGTTTTAATTTTTAAACGAATTTGTTTCTAATTCACATATATTGGCAGCAGCGCCTAGAATGCTAGATCGGAGTTCAGGTTAGTAGTATGCTAGAAGAAGAAGAATCATGTCAATAGTGTCAAATTAGGGCAAAATATAAATTATAGTTCAATACCACCTCTACAAGCCACATAAACAACAGTTGTTTTGTTATTTATTTATATAGAGGAAGATAGGGTAGGTGCCCAAAATGCCATATGTCACAATGTCTCGGAACTCGGAATATAAGTAAACAGAAAAGCACGCCTCTGAAATATGTCATCTTTGTTTGTCTCATACAGGTAACGTGTTTCGATCACCAAGTGATCATCTTCAAATAGGAAGTGTCGAGGTGTTAAAAATAACGATTTGGTGTTGGGAAAAAACTCCAGTAATATGTATTTAATGATCAATTCAAACAATTAGAGTCAGTTATTATATTGCCATTCACTGACTCTTGCAAGAAAGTAGTATTTATATTTTATTATCAGTGACAACTGAAGAAGCTAGCGAAACGAGTGTTTGGGTTTAGATTCCGCTTTATATGAACTATTTCAACGACTGAAGCAAAGAGAAATGGTTTATTCTTTTAAATTTCTAATGTTTTTAATTTTGCCGGAAAAATCTGTTTTTTCCCTAAGTATTTTTGAAATTTTCTCTATCAAAAATAAATCTGTGTAATACTCCTATATAAAAAAACCTGAAATAGAATATAAACTTCCGAAAAAAGATGTAAATCATCTCTGAACAATCTTCACTTTGCCTCAAAGAGTTTTCATCGAAAACTTTGTTTTTCCCCTTTATGAACCACTGAAATGTGGTTGAATTTTCAAAAAAAATAACTTAATACACATATTTTTTGCGATAATCTCTAAATGAAGGGTCTTCAACAAACAAAATACAATCTCATTCGTATATACAAAATTTCCCTTTTGAAAATTGCTTGAAACGCCTCTCTCTAATATATATTTTAACCAAAGAGAAAGGTTCGTTGTGAAACTGGTATTGACGAATGTAAATTTAATCTGTGTGACATATGGACATGCTAATCAAGGTTCATTTCATAAAATCATACCGCAAGTTTTGGGTCTACATTATCTGTAGACTTCAGAAAGAACTTCACAATTTTTTCATTTGACCCACAAAGGGGTGCTTTTTCTTTGGGTTTGTTTCGATATCAAATTTCACTTACCTGGAACACTATAATCCTCAGTGGCGTACTTCGAAGTTTCGGAATAAGTTACCTTTCTTATAACCTAATCAGCACTTTTTTGGATAACATTACAAGATGAAGCATATATAACATTACGACTGTATGTCACCGGAAGAAACGAATCTACTCATAATAAATGAAAAGAAGAAAGTGATTTTCGTAAAATTCAATGTTCATATGAACGTAATTGTTTCAAAAGTACTTTTTTTTC